GCCCGAGCCCCCGGCCGCCCTGCTCCCCGCGGCGGCGCCCAGCCCTCCTGGCCGGGACCCCAAGTACGGCGCCGGATCTACCTCATTCCCCGCCCTGGCCAGCCTGCCCCCCAAAGCGGACGTGAAAGGCTTCGGCGGCGGCTTGTTCGAGGACTTGCCGCTGCCGGCGCCGCAGTCCCCGCACAAGCCGGGCCCGGGCTTCGAGCTGCCCAGGGCCGGGCCCGGGAGGGGCAGCGCCAAGGAGCCGCCCGCCGACGCCGTGAACCTGGCCCTGCCCGCCTCGCTGGACCTCTCCTCGCTGCTGAGCTTCTGGCAGCTGCCGCCTCCCGCCGCCCAGGGCGCCTTCGGGGGCCCCCTCGGCCTGGGGCCCGCGGAGCCGCTGCCCCACCGGCTCGGCTGCCTGGGGCAGCAGCAGCAGGAGCCGCCGCTGGCCGTGGGCCCGGTGGGCGCGGTGGGCCTGGGCCAGCTGCCGCTGCCCCCCATCCCGCACGTGTTCACGGCCGGCACCTGCACGGCCATCCTGCCCCACTTCCACCACGCCTTCAGATGATGGCCTGGGTGTGAGAGACGCGAGTTGGTCTTTATTGTATTGTATTTTATTTTTTGGTCTTACTCTGGAAGATGTTTTCTGAAGCCTTTGAATGAAACATCATTTATGCTACGAAGGAAGATTTAGGAAACAGGACTAGAACTGTGGCTTATTTGCTGATGTCTGATTGAGAAAACTCGCTGCATGTGTTGTGCCAATCCTCCCTGAGTGCTGAAGCTGTGTACCAAATTTAACACGTGCGTGTTCTTTAATCGAACTGCAAATATTGTCATAACCAACATCCCAAACCACGGCTGCTATGTGTGTTCGTCGTATTGAATTCAGTTGTAAGCCATGATCATAACAATGCTAAGTAAAAAACTTTATGCGGCACCGCCTAGAAGGGGAACTGCGGAAGCATCCGGATTTCTCCGCGTTGCGAGAGGTCTGGAAACGAGAGCCTTTGTGCGGCGTGTTCTAACTAGGCTGTGTGTTTCTTTTCAGGGACTTTTCTACCTTCAGGGTTGGATGTAGTTTAGTTGCTATTACCATAGCAAACCTGGGAATAACTCTTTGTGAGACAATAG